GCATCATAATGGATGCAAATGTCTGTTACTCTCAACATTGTATTAAAATTAGATCTTATAGAACATATGATAAAGAAACAGAAAAATACACAATTGTACATGTGTCGCCTCTTTCTAATTCAAGCAATTAAGCATTTTCTTTTTGGTATATTTTTTGGCCCTTAAAAGGGCCTTTTTTTGAGGGTGGGTGGCAATGTCAAGGATAAGTTATGCTTTCTTTTCTGTCTTTTTTGGGAGTAGTACAGCCTGGATATTGGGAAGCACTCCACCCTGTGCAATAGTGACACCAGAGAGCAGTTTATTTAATTCCTCGTCGTTTCTTATAGCCAGCTGAAGATGTCTAGGAATGATTCTGGTCTTCTTGTTATCTCGAGCTGCATTACCAGCCAACTCCAGAACCTCAGCAGCCAAGTATTCTAAAACTGCAGCAAGATAGACGGGAGCGCCGGCACCTACTCTTTCAGCATAATTTCCTTTTCGCAAAAGACGATGAATACGACCAACAGGAAATTGAAGACCAGCACGACTGGATCGAGTCTTGCTCTTTCCCTTAACTTTGCCACCTTTACCACGACCAGACATGATGATATGATTGCAAGATTAATACAAAAATGACGCTCTAGAGACCCCCGTTTTATTAACTCTGTATCTACCATATTTAACCAATGAGCGCAAGACTTTGAAATGAATGGTCCAATAGAATTGTAGCTCTCAATCTCTGTTAGGCACCCTGTGTGGAAATATCAATTCATATTTTTAATTTATTTTTCCTTTATATTAACTAGTTAGCTTGTCGTACACCACTGACTTAAGTCATATCAAATACTAAAAACATTGAGTAGAACCGTTTAATGACCAAGTATTTGTAATAAGAGAATATTATTGTTATTCAAGCATCTTCTGAATATTAATAAACAATATTTCTGCTAAGTAGATGAAAGAAACATGAAAAGAAAAGAAAAACATGTAGATAAATTCTACTATACTTGATATTGCTTCTCCTTCAACTGGCAAAATGTTTTATCATACAAAGCTGTGGTACATAGTTTCACTCTATATGTGTACTCATACTCTAGAGTACATATATAGGTGAGGAACTACTGATACTACATATGTATACGATTGAAATTAGAAATATACTCTTGAATGCAGATATACTTACCTCCAATAAGAATTAAAAATGCATGTATGTGTGTGTATATATATATATTACACTTAGTCCTCACTGGCACCCGAACATATTGGCCATTTCAAAACCCAGTAATTTATAATCACATTACTGGACAGTATCAGAAAAACATAACTAACATTATCAGATGTTTTCTATAACTGGTTGATACTAATTTGATATTTTGTATATGTTAGTTAAATCACTGAACGGAATTTTACATAACTTTAAAATTCGTTTTTATTAAGTACAGTAGATAGCATTAAAATTTAAACTCAGTAGTTCTCCATTTCCTATCCCTTCCTCCAAGGCCAAGAAGGTATTCATATTTCAAGAACAAGAAAAGGAAGGAAACTAAGCTTTACAGAAAATGCTTATTATAATACTTGCCATTCATGTACACTTTCATAACACAACAGAAAGTAGAAGAAACTATGTGCATGCATATTTAAATCATCTAACCATAAGTAATTTTAAAGATGGTTATGTCTTATTGAAACAGATTTATTAACCTAAATAGAAAATATGAAACATAAATATTATTTTTATACATTTTATTTCTATACTAAATCACGTTACATGACATAAAACAGAAGCAAAACACATAACAGGAAAGAGCTTGAATCAGTAAACTGTTGCCATTCACTGTGAAAATACAACTGTTGCCAATTACTGACAAAGTATGACTGTTGCCACTATATCTAATGAGATGAAGAGTAACCCTCAACATATCTTTCAGGATAGGCCAATAAATGAATTAATTCTTTAAAGCAGTGCCATTGTGATCACTCAACTTACAAAGTGTACAGATAGATGAATTTGCATCCTGTAGTGGAAGATGGTGCCTGTTTTGGTTAAAATAAAAAGTGCATCTTAAAGTTTCATTCTTCTTTGAAACATATGAATACATGAAACATGGATACTTATTGCAAAGGTAAGTGCATTGAACAGTATATTTTCGATCTGAATCGTATGTATGAAGCACAAGCTGTATGTTGGAAGCATTAAGCCATTTTGCCAAAGCATGTTTCTCTTATTAGAATTCTTGTTTCTAGTGTCTATTCTTTAAAGTATGTTTTTTTTAACAGTAATATTAATGTAATTATATGATGATTATGAGAATTGGTATTAATTGTGTTAAGTATTCAGAACATGTGTTTGAAAAACGATAGTATTCTGTCATTCTAAATGCTTGGTCACTTAGTTAGTATGTAACATTTTCATCTGAAAAATTAAGTAGTCTATTTCAAATGATAGTGCAATGGGTGATCTGTCCAAGAGGCATGACTGAAAACCAGTAACTGAATGTAACGAAGTGAAAAATCTGTACCTACTTTTACTAGCTTATTTACACTAAATTATTACTAATGGAATTTAAGAGATACTGAATTGATTGCAAATGATGTAATCAGATTTACACATCTCCATGCAATGTCGTGTGTAATTTGGGTTACTTTCTGATGAGTTTGATCAAATCAAGATATATATATATACAATGAATAAGGAAATTCCTACAAATTTGCTGTGCTCACTGTTGTGCCTCCTAATTAAAATCTTTTTATTGTCAGAGTAGGCATATTGGCACCAGTCCCGATTAACTATATTTGAAGATTTTGCCCAGAAACGATGGATGTATTGTAAATGGCATTTAATCTCACACAGCTGACACATGATGGTATGGAATATGACATGTAATGTTAAAGTAGTCATTTATTTCATCAAATGAAAGGACTTTTGTTGTTGCTGACAAAATTGAATATTTCCTGTTGGTTAAGTGCACAGTTGAAAACTTTAACGGTCAGTTCAGAGAGAGGAAATGAAGTCACTTGTTTCTGTGTTGTTACGTTGTAAAAAAAATGTGCTTGTGTTCAAGAAAGTGTAATTATCTTCGAAAAATTGAAATTCAAAGTCAAGTTAGATGCCTGTTTGTAATTTGGTGGGATGGAATGTTTGTATTAGAAACATCACATTTCCATGAAGTCGTAAAATTGATGAAAAGTGACAAAACGACTATCAAATATGAAGAAAAGGTTTATTAGTTATAAATGTGAGTAAGATGAATAGATTACAATACAAACAATGATGTGAAATCAATGAAAATTGGAAAAATCTGGTGATGTGTGAAATATGAAAAATATATTATTAATTATAAAAGCAGGAATTTTATTAATTAATTATATACGAGGAAGAAGAAAAAAAATTATATATATGAAGGAATTTTATGCAGATCCCCGCCCCGCCCCCTACCTTCCTTCCTACCTACCTACCTACCTACAGCGGGATTCGAACCCGGGCCCTTCGGCCCAGTAGATAGTGTCACTAACCACTGTCCCGCCTCGACAGGCTAGCCACTTTCCTGTGTAGGCAGTACTTATGATATTTCGGATATTATAGAATGTCTTCATTCCAAGTATTCTGAGAAAGGCTTTGATCGAGCTAGTGAAACCATTTGTGGTGCATTCAGATGTCTTGCTCATCTTGTCCACAGAGTAACTACAGTGTATATCTTATCTTGCTTCAACACTGTATACGTATTCTTATGATGATTTCTGCCCTCACTACGAACTCTCTACAACTAACCCACTGCTATGGATCTGCTAATACTTCTCTTCCTACTTCTACTTCTACTTCAACTCACCTGTCTAAGACTTTCGTTATGCTACTCAACGTTCGAAAAGTTATCTAATTGTTATATTGGGAATTTTTTTTTTTTTTTTTTTTCCATGTAGCCATGTCTGACGTGTATTCTTTTCTTCGAGTGATTAGTTTCATCAAACACGAAGCACACAGTTCTTTTACTTCTTATTATCGTGTATATGTTGCATTAGATCCATATATTGCCGGGGGGGTTAATTTGTGAAGAAAAGGACAGGGGGGAGCCAAGTTTCCAACCTGTCGTTGTAATAATAGTAAATTCTCCTGTCACGTTGTCATGAAGCTAATTAACTCTCTGAGCATTACGGGCTTAGCCTTGATGACTCTTTCATTTTGTACCTTGATTCCTTTTCTTCCAATATACATCCAAACTGAAATCAGATACGTTAACTCTTTAAAATCCAGACCCTTCGCTAAGCTGTATCCTCAAAATACCCGAACCGCCCGAAATACTTTACCAGTTTCACAGCAATTTCCTCACCTCCCCGTCCATTAATGCAGAAAATAGGTGTAAAGATTTCCAATGACATCCTTTGTACTTTCTAACAAAGATTCCATTAGCCTTTGACCCCATTCTTTATAAAACTATTCTGAAGGTCAGATCAACAAGCCTTTCCAGCTTTGTTATGATCACAACTGAGAGATTGTATCTCAACGAAATGTCACGATCATCCAAAAGATAAAAAAACCTCTTAGGACAAGCTGTCTGCAGTAAACTGATACAATGCATTTGGGGAAAGTGCACCTGCTACTGCATACCTTAGGGGGAGAGAGGGAAGAAAAGAAGATTACAATCTCGGGCGGATTTGGATGTGAAGGAGTTAAAAGCTAGCAGAAATTTTCATGTATAATGAATGGGGAAGGCAAACTTCTGTATGGAAGTTTCCGGCCTTAACACTGAGAAGGTTAAATATGATGTACTATTATGGTTATCATCAAATTCCATTGCAAATGTTGTCTGCATTTTCAATTATCTTTCAAATTAGACTCGCATTTTCCAATTTCTTTGGTTTCCATGTATATATATAAGGATACTATTTGGTAAGTCCTTTCAATGAATTCATTTAAGACAGCCAGTAAGAAGTAATAAATTGAACAATGAATGATATGTGTCATAGGATTTAAAGATAAGCAAGCAACAGCTAATCTTAAGCATTTTCTGGCCCTGAAAAGGGCCTTTTTTTTTTTTTTTTTTTTATGCTGAAAGCTTTGAAAATTTACTTCGAGCTGGTGTACTTGGTGACAGCTTTGGTACCTTCTGAAACAGCATGTTTTGCCAATTCACCAGGCAGCAACAGTCGCACTGCAGTTTGAATTTCTCGGCTAGTGATGGTGCTCCTCTTATTGTAATGAGCTAAACGAGAAGATTCTGCTGCAATTCTCTCAAAGATGTCATTAACAAAAGAATTCATAATTGACATTGCCTTGCTCGAAATACCAGTGTCAGGATGAACCTGTTTCAAAACTTTGTAGATGTAAATAGCAAAAGATTCCTTCCTTCGCTTCTTCCTCTTTTTCTTGTCACCAGCTCGAACAGCTTTCTGGGCCTTTCCAGCTTTCTTAACAGCTTTTCCAGATGCTTGGGGAGGCATTTTCAAATTCTACGAATGAGATGAATCACACCTGAAAGGCCGTATTTATGCATTTTGGCCGTTTTCCTTTTCAACCAATCACAAACATCATGATGTAACCTATTTTTTGAGAGAGAAAATGTAATGGGGAGGTTAAAAGAATTTGTATATGAAATACATTTTTGAAAGAAAATTGAGTTTCGTTTACGTACATATTATTTTGTTGTCAAATTAACCCTGTCAACGGCCACACCGTGCTGAAAGTACCGGTTCTCGTCCGTCCGAACACCGCAGTCAAGCAGCGTCGGGCGCGGTCAGTACTTGGGAGGGTGACCACCTGGGAACACCGCGTGCTGTTGACATTTTTGTCCTCTTGCAAATTTTTATGTATCCGTACTAATAATTATTAATTCAAAATACATATTTTTTGTGTGTGTGTCTGATAGGAAAAGCTATAGTTATATAAAACACTGATAACTGATGACATGCAAGCCTTAATCTTATGCTACATTTATAATGACACCAATCTGTTGAAATAAAAATTCTCGTTCTCCTGATCTGTTCTCAATTATAATACTTTACATACCATATAAAACAGTTTATATGAACTTAAAAAAAAAAAAAATACCCTGAGGACACTTAACACAAAAGGATATTACATTAATTGTTGTAAATCCTACTAACGCCATATTGATAGTATTCTTATTGGTCGAACAGAGACCTTTGATCACGTGACACGCACGGAAAAATAGCATAAATAAAAGTGCCTGAGAACCGAAATCCGTTTTTCTGATATTTCAGTGTTGCAAAAATGTCTGGCCGTGGTAAAGGAGGCAAAGGTCTTGGTAAAGGGGGTGCCAAAAGGCATCGCAAGGTCTTGAGAGATAACATCCAGGGTATCACAAAACCAGCAATTAGGCGCTTGGCAAGACGAGGTGGAGTAAAGCGTATTTCCGGCCTCATCTATGAGGAAACGCGAGGAGTTCTGAAAGTTTTCTTGGAAAATGTGATCCGAGATGCTGTCACCTACACAGAGCATGCCAAGAGGAAAACTGTCACTGCTATGGATGTCGTTTATGCATTAAAGAGACAGGGACGTACTCTATATGGATTTGGAGGTTAAATATCATTACCTTGCCCTAATTCCCCCCCCCCCCCAAAAGGCCCTTTTCAGGGCCATACAAATTTTTAAAAAAGATATGCCTTTATTGTAAAATTTCTCGCTATAACAGTACTCCCGATTTAATTATATCGGTTTAAATCATTATCTACTTAAGCTGTATGAATCGAATTAAAATTAGCATTTTATATTCCTTCTTTAAAAAGTTACACACCAATAAAAATAAATCTATTTTTTTATAAAGTATTTGTATTCATTAAATCTTTTTTTGTGAAGAAGTATTGATTATTTTTTAATACTTCATTGGCCGGTCAGATGGAGGCCTCTCTTCTTCAGGAGCAAAGGAAAAAGAAAGCTTTCTTCTGAAGAGGACAGACTTGTGTTTCGCATTAAATATTACATATCTACTATTCATAGGCACACTAATAAAGGCATATCTTTATTAAAATTTGTATGGCTCTGAAAAGAGCCTTTTTTTTTTTTTTAATTATTTCAGTCCATCATCCTTTCACTTTTTGCCTTTCTTTGGAGTGGCTTTTTTAACTGCTTTAAGTTTCTTTGCTTTGGGAGGCTTCGGCTTCGTTGCTTTCACAACTTTCTTTGGGCTTTTTGCTTTACTCACTTTTTTAACGCTCGTTTTTTTTGGCAGCAGGCTTTTTTCTCTCCTCTTTTGCTTTAGCTGGTTTCTTTGCAGGCGCTTTAGCTTTCTTCGCCGGTGATGCAGCTGCCTTCTTTGGCTTCTTCTCTTGTTTTCCTGACTCCTTATTTTTATGGCCAGATGCACTAACTTTGAATGAACCAGTAGCTCCCTTTCCTTTCGTCTGAACTAGGCTTCCACCAGCTACAGCACTCTTCAGATACTTCTTGATAAAAGGGGTCAAACGGTCAATATCCACTTTGTGATGCGATGCAATATGCTTCTTAATGGCTTGAAGAGAAGAGCCACCCCGTTCTTTCAAACTCGTAATAGCCTCTACGACCATAGCTGAAACTTTAGGATGTGATGGTATCGTCTTCGGTTTCTTACTCGCTGATTTCTTCGCCTTCTTTGGCGTAGCAGCAGCAGGTGAAGATGAAACGGTCTCTTCGGTTGACATTGTTAGGCCTCCGAACGAACGAACTAACTGTCCGATGGTAAATATCGAAATGAGGGTACCCCAATATGTGTGCGTAGACTTGGGGGAGGACACATGAGGCGGGGCTTAGAAATTTGACCTTTCATAGGTCTTGTATGCTCACGTGACCTATCAAACAGAGTTAAGAAATACGAATAGCCCGCGAAATTTTTATTATTTCTTGATTTCTAGTTGCGTTGTGAAGTGCTGAAGAAGCTCTTACTTTTGAGATGGCTCGTACGAAGCAGACTGCAAGGAAAAGTACTGGAGGTAAAGCTCCTAGGAAACAGTTAGCTACTAAGGCTGCGAGGAAAAGCGCACCAGCTACCGGTGGTGTTAAAAAACCTCATCGTTACAGGCCTGGTACTGTTGCTCTCAGGGAGATTCGTCGTTATCAGAAATCAACAGAATTGCTGATCCGCAAATTGCCTTTCCAACGTTTAGTCAGGGAAATTGCACAAGACTTTAAGACCGATCTTCGATTCCAGAGCTCAGCGGTTATGGCTCTTCAGGAAGCCAGTGAAGCTTACCTGGTAGGATTATTTGAAGATACCAACTTGTGCGCTATCCATGCCAAGAGAGTGACTATAATGCCGAAAGACATTCAGCTGGCTCGTCGTATTCGTGGCGAACGCGCTTAAGTGACATTTTGTTTTTAAAAAAAGGCCCTTTTCAGGGCCATACAAATAATGTAATAAGTTATGTTACAATAATTGCTTCCTTTTATTCCCTGCCTTTTTTTCCCCCATTAAAATTTTCTACTCATTCGAAAATCTTCCCTCTTTTCATTAAATATTTATGAGTTATTAAAATTGAATGCGCACATTCAAGTCTGCCAAATTTTTATTTCGAAATCATCACTTTATAAAGATTTCTTTCCTCTGACAGCAATTATTGTAACTGAGCTTATTAAATAATTTGTATGGCGCTTAAAAGTATTTATTCTTTGCAAAGTATGCATATCCAATCACTTTAATTCCGTTAGGAACTTAATATTCGAAATCTTTTTCACATGAATAATCTACGGATAGATGGCACCACTTACAAGATGTGTTTTAAAACATTGTTTATATACGATTAAAATATGAATTTTTGGGAGACATTTAATTTTAATTCCTTTAAGTTCCTCCTTAAATATTTGCATCATAATGGATGCAAATGTCTGTTACTCTCAACATTGTATTAAAATTAGATCTTATAGAACATATGATAAAGAAACAGAAAAATACACAATTGTACATGTGTCGCCTCTTTCTAATTCAAGCAATTAAGCATTTTCTTTTTGGTATATTTTTTGGCCCTTAAAAGGGCCTTTTTTTGAGGGTGGGTGGCAATGTCAAGGATAAGTTATGCTTTCTTTTCTGTCTTTTTTGGGAGTAGTACAGCCTGGATATTGGGAAGCACTCCACCCTGTGCAATAGTGACACCAGAGAGCAGTTTATTTAATTCCTCGTCGTTTCTTATAGCCAGCTGAAGATGTCTAGGAATGATTCTGGTCTTCTTGTTATCTCGAGCTGCATTACCAGCCAACTCCAGAACCTCAGCAGCCAAGTATTCTAAAACTGCAGCAAGATAGACGGGAGCGCCGGCACCTACTCTTTCAGCATAATTTCCTTTTCGCAAAAGACGATGAATACGACCAACAGGAAATTGAAGACCAGCACGACTGGATCGAGTCTTGCTCTTTCCCTTAACTTTGCCACCTTTACCACGACCAGACATGATGATATGATTGCAAGATTAATACAAAAATGACGCTCTAGAGACCCCCGTTTTATTAACTCTGTATCTACCATATTTAACCAATGAGCGCAAGACTTTGAAATGAATGGTCCAATAGAATTGTAGCTCTCAATCTCTGTTAGGCACCCTGTGTGGAAATATCAATTCATATTTTTAATTTATTTTTCCTTTATATTAACTAGTTAGCTTGTCGTACACCACTGACTTAAGTCATATCAAATACTAAAACATTGAGTAGAACCGTTTAATGACCAAGTATTTGTAATAAGAGAATATTATTGTTATTCAAGCATCTTCTGAATATTAATAAACAATATTTCTGCTAAGTAGATGAAAGAAACATGAAAAGAAAAGAAAAACATGTAGATAAATTCTACTATACTTGATATTGCTTCTCCTTCAACTGGCAAAATGTTTTATCATACAAAGCTGTGGTACATAGTTTCACTCTATATGTGTACTCATACTCTAGAGTACATATATAGGTGAGGAACTACTGATACTACATATGTATACGATTGAAATTAGAAATATACTCTTGAATGCAGATATACTTACCTCCAATAAGAATTAAAAATGCATGTATGTGTGTGTGTATATATATATATTACACTTAGTCCTCACTGGCACCCGAACATATTGGCCATTTCAAAACCCAGTAATTTATAATCACATTACTGGACAGTATCAGAAAAACATAACTAACATTATCAGATGTTTTCTATAACTGGTTGATACTAATTTGATATTTTGTATATGTTAGTTAAATCACTGAACGGAATTTTACATAACTTTAAAATTCGTTTTTATTAAGTACAGTAGATAGCATTAAAATTTAAACTCAGTAGTTCTCCATTTCCTATCCCTTCCTCCAAGGCCAAGAAGGTATTCATATTTCAAGAACAAGAAAAGGAAGGAAACTAAGCTTTACAGAAAATGCTTATTATAATACTTGCCATTCATGTACACTTTCATAACACAACAGAAAGTAGAAGAAACTATGTGCATGCATATTTAAATCATCTAACCATAAGTAATTTTAAAGATGGTTATGTCTTATTGAAACAGATTTATTAACCTAAATAGAAAATATGAAACATAAATATTATTTTTATACATTTTATTTCTATACTAAATCACGTTACATGACATAAAACAGAAGCAAAACACATAACAGGAAAGAGCTTGAATCAGTAAACTGTTGCCATTCACTGTGAAAATACAACTGTTGCCAATTACTGACAAAGTATGACTGTTGCCACTATATCTAATGAGATGAAGAGTAACCCTCAACATATCTTTCAGGATAGGCCAATAAATGAATTAATTCTTTAAAGCAGTGCCATTGTGATCACTCAACTTACAAAGTGTACAGATAGATGAATTTGCATCCTGTAGTGGAAGATGGTGCCTGTTTTGGTTAAAATAAAAAGTGCATCTTAAAGTTTCATTCTTCTTTGAAACATATGAATACATGAAACATGGATACTTATTGCAAAGGTAAGTGCATTGAACAGTATATTTTCGATCTGAATCGTATGTATGAAGCACAAGCTGTATGTTGGAAGCATTAAGCCATTTTGCCAAAGCATGTTTCTCTTATTAGAATTCTTGTTTCTAGTGTCTATTCTTTAAAGTATGTTTTTTTTAACAGTAATATTAATGTAATTATATGATGATTATGAGAATTGGTATTAATTGTGTTAAGTATTCAGAACATGTGTTTGAAAAACGATAGTATTCTGTCATTCTAAATGCTTGGTCACTTAGTTAGTATGTAACATTTTCATCTGAAAAATTAAGTAGTCTATTTCAAATGATAGTGCAATGGGTGATCTGTCCAAGAGGCATGACTGAAAACCAGTAACTGAATGTAACGAAGTGAAAAATCTGTACCTACTTTTACTAGCTTATTTACACTAAATTCTAATGGAATTTAAGAGATACTGAACAAATGATGTAATCAGATTTACACATCTCCATGCAATGTCGTGTGTAATTTGGGTTACTTTCTGATGAGTTTGATCAAATCAAGATATATATATATACAATGAATAAGGAAATTCCTACAAATTTGCTGTGCTCACTGTTGTGCCTCCTAATTAAAATCTTTTTATTGTCAGAGTAGGCATATTGGCACCAGTCCCGATTAACTATATTTGAAGATTTTGCCCAGAAACGATGGATGTATTGTAAATGGCATTTAATCTCACACAGCTGACACATGATGGTATGGAATATGACATGTAATGTTAAAGTAGTCATTTATTTCATCAAATGAAAGGACTTTTGTTGTTGCTGACAAAATTGAATATTTCCTGTTGGTTAAGTGCACAGTTGAAAACTTTAACGGTCAGTTCAGAGAGAGGAAATGAAGTCACTTGTTTCTGTGTTGTTACGTTGTAAAAAAAATGTGCTTGTGTTCAAGAAAGTGTAATTATCTTCGAAAAATTGAAATTCAAAGTCAAGTTAGATGCCTGTTTGTAATTTGGTGGGATGGAATGTTTGTATTAGAAACATCACATTTCCATGAAGTCGTAAAATTGATGAAAAGTGACAAAACGACTATCAAATATGAAGAAAAGGTTTATTAGTTATAAATGTGAGTAAGATGAATAGATTACAATACAAACAATGATGTGAAATCAATGAAAATTGGAAAAATCTGGTGATGTGTGAAATATGAAAAATATATTTATTAATTATAAAAGCAGGAATTTTATTAATTAATTATATACGAGGAAGAAGAAAAAAAATTATATATATGAAGGAATTTTATGCAGATCCCCGCCCCGCCCCCTACCTTCCTTCCTACCTACCTACCTACCTACAGCGGGATTCGAACCCGGGCCCTTCGGCCCAGTAGATAGTGTCACTAACCACTGTCCCGCCTCGACAGGCTAGCCACTTTCCTGTGTAGGCAGTACTTATGATATTTCGGATATTATAGAATGTCTTCATTCCAAGTATTCTGAGAAAGGCTTTGATCGAGCTAGTGAAACCATTTGTGGTGCATTCAGATGTCTTGCTCATCTTGTCCACAGAGTAACTACAGTGTATATCTTGCTTCAACACTGTATACGTATTCTTATGATGATTTCTGCCTCACTACGAACTCTCTACAACTAACCCACTGCTATGGATCTGCTAATACTTCTCTTCCTACTTCTACTTCAACTCACCTGTCTAAGACTTTCGTTATGCTACTCAACGTTCGAAAAGTTATCTAATTGTTATATTGGGAATTTTTTTTTTTTTTTTTTTTCCATGTAGCCATGTCTGACGTGTATTCTTTTCTTCGAGTGATTAGTTTCATCAAACACGAAGCACACAGTTCTTTTACTTCTTATTATCGTGTATATGTTGCATTAGATCCATATATTGCCGGGGGGGTTAATTTGTGAAGAAAAGGACAGGGGGGAGCCAAGTTTCCAACCTGTCGTTGTAATAATAGTAAATTCTCCTGTCACGTTGTCATGAAGCTAATTAACTCTCTGAGCATTACGGGCTTAGCCTTGATGACTCTTTCATTTTGTACCTTGATTCCTTTTCTTCCAATATACATCCAAACTGAAATCAGATACGTTAACTCTTTAAAATCCAGACCCTTCGCTAAGCTGTATCCTCAAAATACCCGAACCGCCCGAAATACTTTACCAGTTTCACAGCAATTTCCTCACCTCCCCGTCCATTAATGCAGAAAATAGGTGTAAAGATTTCCAATGACATCCTTTGTACTTTCTAACAAAGATTCCATTAGCCTTTGACCCCATTCTTTATAAAACTATTCTGAAGGTCAGATCAACAAGCCTTTCCAGCTTTGTTATGATCACAACTGAGAGATTGTATCTCAACGAAATGTCACGATCATCCAAAAGATAAAAAAACCTCTTAGGACAAGCTGTCTGCAGTAAACTGATACAATGCATTTGGGGAAAGTGCACCTGCTACTGCATACCTTAGGGGGAGAGAGGAAGAAAAGAAGATTACAATCTCGGGCGGATTTGGATGTGAAGGAGTTAAAAGCTAGCAGAAATTTTCATGTATAATGAATGGGGAAGGCAAACTTCTGTATGGAAGTTTCCGGCCTTAACACTGAGAAGGTTAAATATGATGTACTATTATGGTTATCATCAAATTCCATTGCAAATGTTGTCTGCATTTTCAATTATCTTTCAAATTAGACTCGCATTTTCCAATTTCTTTGGTTTCCATGTATATATATAAGGATACTATTTGGTAAGTCCTTTCAATGAATTCATTTAAGACAGCCAGTAAGAAGTAATAAATTGAACAATGAATGATATGTGTCATAGGATTTAAAGATAAGCAAGCAACAGCTAATCTTAAGCATTTTCTGGCCCTGAAAAGGGCCTTTTTTTTTTTTTTTTTTTATGCTGAAAGCTTTGAAAATTTACTTCGAGCTGGTGTACTTGGTGACAGCTTTGGTACCTTCTGAAACAGCATGTTTTGCCAATTCACCAGGCAGCAACAGTCGCACTGCAGTTTGAATTTCTCGGCTAGTGATGGTGCTCCTCTTATTGTAATGAGCTAAACGAGAAGATTCTGCTGCAATTCTCTCAAAGATGTCATTAACAAAAGAATTCATAATTGACATTGCCTTGCTCGAAATACCAGTGTCAGGATGAACCTGTTTCAAAACTTTGTAGATGTAAATAGCAAAAGATTCCTTCCTTCGCTTCTTCCTCTTTTTCTTGTCACCAGCTCGAACAGCTTTCTGGGCCTTTCCAGCTTTCTTAACAGCTTTTCCAGATGCTTGGGGAGGCATTTTCAAATTCTACGAATGAGATGAATCACACCTGAAAGGCCGTATTTATGCATTTTGGCCGTTTTCCTTTTCAACCAATCACAAACATCATGATGTAACCTATTTTTTGAGAGAGAAAATGTAATGGGGAGGTTAAAAGAATTTGTATATGAAATACATTTTTGAAAGAAAATTGAGTTTCGTTTACGTACATATTATTTTGTTGTCAAATTAACCCTGTCAACGGCCACACCGTGCTGAAAGTACCGGTTCTCGTCCGAACACCGCAGTCAAGCAGCGTCGGGCGCGGTCAGTACTTGGGAGGGTGACCACCTGGGAACACCGCGTGCTGTTGACATTTTTGTCCTCTTGCAAATTTTTATGTATCCGTACTAATAATTATTAATTCAAAATACATATTTTTTGTGTGTGTGTCTGATAGGAAAAGCTATAGTTATATAAAAACACTGATAACTGATGACATGCAAGCCTTAATCTTATGCTACATTTATAATGACACCAATCTGTTGAAATAAAAATTCTCGTTCTCCTGATCTGTTCTCAATTATAATACTTTACATACCATATAAAACAGTTTATATGAACTTAAAAAAAAAAAAAAAAATACCCTGAGGACACTTAACACAAAAGGATATTACATTAATTGTTGTAAATCCTACTAACGCCATATTGATAGTATTCTTATTGGTCGAACAGAGACCTTTGATCACGTGACACGCACGGAAAAATAGCATAAATAAAAGTGCCTGAGAACCGAAATCCGTTTTTCTGATATTTCAGTGTTGCAAAAATGTCTGGCCGTGGTAAAGGAGGCAAAGGTCTTGGTAAAGGGGGTGCCAAAAGGCATCGCAAGGTCTTGAGAGATAACATCCAGGGTATCACAAAACCAGCAATTAGGCGCTTGGCAAGACGAGGTGGAGTAAAGCGTATTTCCGGCCTCATCTATGAGGAAACGCGAGGAGTTCTGAAAGTTTTCTTGGAAAATGTGATCCGAGATGCTGTCACCTACACAGAGCATGCCAAGAGGAAAACTGTCACTGCTATGGATGTCGTTTATGCATTAAAGAGACAGGGACGTACTCTATATGGATTTGGAGGTTAAATATCATTACCTTGCCCTAATTCCCCCCCCCCCCAAAAGGCCCTTTTCAGGGCCATACAAATTTTTAAAAAAGATATGCCTTTATTGTAAAATTTCTCGCTATAACAGTACTCCCGATTTAATTATATCGGTTTAAATCATTATCTACTTAAGCTGTATGAATCGAATTAAAATTAGCATTTTATATTCCTTCTTTAAAAAGTTACACACCAATAAAAATAAATCTATTTTTTTATAAAGTATTTGTATTCATTAAATCTTTTTTTGTGAAGAAGTATTGATTATTTTTTAATACTTCATTGGCCGGTCAGATGGAGGCCTCTCTTCTTCAGGAGCAAAGGAAAAAGAAAGCTTTCTTCTGAAGAGGACAGACTTGTGTTTCGCATTAAATATTACATATCTACTATTCATAGGCACACTAATAAAGGCATATCTTTATTAAAATTTGTATGGCTCTGAAAAGAGCCTTTTTTTTTTTTTAATTATTTCAGTCCATCATCCTTTCACTTTTTGCCTTTCTTTGGAGTGGCTTTTTTAACTGCTTTAAGTTTCTTTGCTTTGGGAGGCTTCGGCTTCGTTGCTTTCACAACTTTCTTTGGGCTTTTTGCTTTACTCACTTTTTTAACGCTCGTTTTTTTGGCAGCAGGCTTTTTCTTCTCCTCTTTTGCTTTAGCTGGTTTCTTTGCAGGCGCTTTAGCTTTCTTCGCCGGTGATGCAGCTGCCTTCTTTGGCTTCTTCTCTTGTTTTTCCTGACTCCTTATTTTTATGGCCAGATGCACTAACTTTGAATGAACCAGTAGCTCCCTTTCCTTTCGTCTGAACTAGGCTTCCACCAGCTACAGCACTCTTCAGATACTTCTTGATAAAAGGGGTCAAACGGTCAATATCCACTTTGTGATGCGATGCAATATGCTTCTTAATGGCTTGAAGAGAAGAGCCACCCCGTTCTTTCAAACTCGTAATAGCCTCTACGACCATAGCTGAAACTTTAGGATGTGATGGTATCGTCTTCGGTTTCTTACTCGCTGATTTCTTCGCCTTCTTTGGCGTAGCAGCAGCAGGTGAAGATGAAACGGTCTCTTCGGTTGACATTGTTAGGCCTCCGAACGAACGAACTAACTGTCCGATGGTAAATATCGAAATGAGGGTACCCCAATATGTGTGCGTAGACTTGGGGGAGGACACATGAGGCGGGGCTTAGAAATTTGACCTTTCATAGGTCTTGTATGCTCACGTGACCTATCAAACAGAGTTAAGAAATACGAATAGCCCGCGAAATTTTTATTATTTCTTGATTTCTAGTTGCGTTGTGAAGTGCTGAAGAAGCTCTTACTTTTGAGATGGCTCGTACGAAGCAGACTGCAAGGAAAAGTACTGGAGGTAAAGCTCCTAGGAAACAGTTAGCTACTAAGGCTGCGAGGAAAAGCGCACCAGCTACCGGTGGTGTTAAAAAACCTCATCGTTACAGGCCTGGTACTGTTGCTCTCAGGGAGATTCGTCGTTATCAGAAATCAACAGAATTGCTGATCCGCAAATTGCCTTTCCAACGTTTAGTCAGGGAAATTGCACAAGACTTTAAGACCGATCTTCGATTCCAGAGCTCAGCGGTTATGGCTCTTCAGGAAGCCAGTGAAGCTTACCTGGTAGGATTATTTGAAGATACCAACTTGTGCGCTATCCATGCCAAGAGAGTGACCGAAAGACATTCAGCATGGCTCGTCGTATTCGTGGCGAACGCGCTTAAGTGACATTTTTTTTTTTTAAAAAAAGGCCCTTTTCAGGGCCATACAAATAATGTAAAAAGTTTTCAGGGCTTCCTTTATTCCCTTACAATTTTTTCTTCCCTTTTATTAAAATTTTCCCTACCTTTCGAAAATTTCCCCATTAAAATTTTCTACTCATTCGAAAATCTTCCCTCTTTTCATTAAATATTTATGAGTTATATTAAAATTGAATGCGCACATTCAAGTCTGCCAAATTTTTATTTCGAAATCATCACTTTATAAAGATTTCTTTCCTCTGACAGCAATTATTGTAACTGAGCTTATTAAATAATTTGTATGGCGCTTAAAAGTATTTATTCTTTGCAAAGTATGCATATCCAATCACTTTAATTCCGTTAGGAACTTAATATTCGAAATCTTTTTCACATGAATAATCTACGGATAGATGGCACCACTTACAAGATGTGTTTTAAAACATTGTTTATATACGATTAAAATATGAATTTTTGGGAGACATTTAATTTTAATTCCTTTAAGTTCCTCCTTAAATATTTGCATCATAATGGATGCAAATGTCTGTTACTCTCAACATTGTATTAAAATTAGATCTTATAGAACATATGATAAAGAAACAGAAAAATACACAATTGTACATGTGTCGCCTCTTTCTAATTCAAGCAATTAAGCATTTTCTTTTTGGTATATTTTTTGGCCCTTAAAAGGGCCTTTTTTTGAGGGTGGGTGGCAATGTCAAGGATAAGTTATGCTTTCTTTTCTGTCTTTTTTGGGAGTAGTACAGCCTGGATATTGGGAAGCACTCCACCCTGTGCAATAGTGACACCAGAGAGCAGTTTATTTAATTCCTCGTCGTTTCTTATAGCCAGCTGAAGATGTCTAGGAATGATTCTGGTCTTCTTGTTATCTCGAGCTGCATTACCAGCCAACTCCAGAACCTCAGCAGCCAAGTATTCTAAAACTGCAGCAAGATAGACGGGAGCGCCGGCACCTACTCTTTCAGCATAATTTCCTTTTCGCAAAAGACGATGAATACGACCAACAGGAAATTGAAGACCAGCACGACTGGATCGAGTCTTGCTCTTTCCCTTAACTTTGCCACCTTTACCACGACCAGACATGATGATATGATTGCAAGATTAATACAAAAATGACGCTCTAGAGACCCCCGTTTTATTAACTCTGTATCTACCATATTTAACCAATGAGCGCAAGACTTTGAAATGAATGGTCCAATAGAATTGTAGCTCTCAATCTCTGTTAGGCACCCTGTGTGGAAATATCAATTCATATTTTTAATTTATTTTTCCTTTATATTAACTAGTTAGCTTGTCGTACACCACTGACTTAAGTCATATCAAATACTAAAACATTGAGTAGAACCGTTTAATGACCAAGTATTTGTAATAAGAGAATATTATTGTTATTCAAGCATCTTCTGAATATTAATAAACAATATTTCTGCTAAGTAGATGAAAGAAACATGAAA